AAGTATTGAGGATTTTGTTTCTTCACAGCCTGGAAGAAACTAATACATGAAGTATAAAAAGCAGGGATTACATTAATCTTAGACCCACAGTTAATGTTTGCTTTTTAAAAACATAATCGCAGATAAACCTTTCCTTATTTCAAACGCTGTTTTGTTTAACAAACCTTTACTCTGTGGAAATGTGAATATTATCATTTCTGGGGCTTTACAGAATCGTCTAATATCAACTATCTGTCTGGAGTTTCTCCTGAAGGTCACTGGACTCACAACCTCAGTGTTTGGACAAACCTGGCTCCAGGCCCAGATATTTGTTTGGGTAATAAATTCACCATCTGCCTTTATTTCGTACTTTTAGAAAACTTTCGGAACTCTGAATTAAGTGTAACACCCGAAGCTGTGGCCAAACCCAGAAAGATAAGCTGCGTTTTCCCTTCACCTAAATCACTAACAATGGAAATCACATCTTCCTCCCTTCTCTGTCGGCCTCGCTCTTTCGTCATTTTGACATTGTCCTTGCAGTTGTGCTCTTAAATTCCAGGTTAATTAACAAAAACAAACCCCAGAGGCTGGTTTGATCGCAGGTGGCGTGCACGAGCCTGGCGACAGTGAAACCCAGACGGAGGCTAGCGGCTTTGTGTCAACGAGTCAACTCCGAGAACGACCCACTCAAGAGCATCTCGATTCAAGGCTGTGAAGACTCTCCCCCTCATTTTTATAGACTCTCCTCCGCCGCCTCCTCTTCAGCTCTTTGTTGCCACAGAAAATGTGCAATAAACACACACAGTCCCTGTTCCGCTGCCAGAGCATTAAAAAGAGTGTGTAGGTGCACTGGGTTTCGCTTTCTTGGCTCGGCCTCTAAAGTTGCACCTGCTAAAATAAATCACAGTTAATATTCCTGTGTAGAATATAATTTAAAAAATAAAGGCCTATCAGAAGATTAGAGAGCAACAGAAATCACACTTAAACGTTTACTCTCACATTGTAACGCTAATACAATAATAAACGCTGACGTCCACTTGTTTAAAACGGAAAAGCCACAAAAGTCGAGTCAGCAAAACGATTCCCCACGTTGACAAAAGCGTCAGCTCCCCGTTTCATTTCAGGGGCGGTAAAAGTATTGAGTGCACATGTGGGAGCCGTAACTCTGTTTATCTGGACGCTCCCCGAACGATTTGATGTCTCCGTGTGACGTAAAAAAAAAAGCTGTCAACAGCGCTGCGTCCATTTTTATGACTCCATGTTGGAAGAGGAGGGATTTTACAACAAAACATGGCGTGATTGGGAGGTGTAAGAGATATTCCTGAAAATCTAGTTAGGCTCAAAGGTTTCATTGACCTACACAGCTCGGCCTGACTTTCATTTTCTTTGACTGACGCCATATGTTTGATTTGATGTTCGCTGCTGGCAGATGAGCGCCACACGGTTTGTATCCTGTTCTGTTTTTTTGTCGTCTGTGGAACATAAAACACATTTACATTGATTATAAAATCTTCATTGCAGATAAACCAGGTAGGATGAACACAAAACTTCACTCTGCACCGTAGACTGTTCATAAAGAAAAGCTCTGCACTCAACATCGAGCACATTAACATTAAAAGGTGATGGTCTGTTATAAAACAGTTTGATAAGGACTCACTAATGATGAGGAATAATTCTGAAGCATCGACACAGCAGCGAACAGCTCATTCCAAACAGGCAGGTTTACGAGGGCCCCTGCACTGGAGCATTATGATATACTACCGATGTTTCCTGTTGTGACCATGGGGGGGCAGTGTTAAGACACACATCCCGCCTGATGCACAACTGCCCAACTCATCCTAAGATCCTGCAGAGATTGCTCCGGCGCCCCGACTCTTTTGGTGATGCTGCATGAATTCAGAAATAATTGAATTCTATTCAGATAAGGTCTGGGAAATATGAATGCGGCCGCTTAGCAGAGATCAAAAGGCCTGTTTGGGTTCAAACCAGGTGGGGACCCTCGAGACGTCCTCTGGTTTAATTGCTTCTGTGCAGTAAATCACTGGAATGCCTCAAATATGCAAAGTGGACGTGAGGCCACTGTACATCTGAACTTGCATGAGGCTCGTTTAATAGTCAAATTGGTGCCAAAAACAAAAAGTCTGCAGCTGCAGTTTTATATCACAATGCTACGAGTCGGAATAATGAGTAAACACCTGACCCGATTCTGGCAAATAACAAAACACTGAGATTTGTGCTGCTACCTCTTTTCAAGCCGAGGGACTGTGACTCATGCTTTGAATAATAACTTTAAGTTTGAGCTGATTATTGTTTCTGACAATTTACAGCCGAGGCTGCGTGTACTGGATGTAAAACACTTCTTCCTGGAGCGATGAAGTATGAGCAGCAACATACAAAAACTGTGTTCTCTGTACTCGCAGTTCACTTCTGCCGTCTGTGTTGAAACAAGCTGTGGCATTTAAGAGGTTAGGCATTCGAATTTGTAATTATTTTAAATCCCCAAACAAAGCTCTGCTGAAAAGCTTTCATACGCTCTTTCATCGGTCCGGTTTGTTTGTTTTGTGCTTGATCCACAAGGTTGCAGGTTGCAGTGAGGAAAAAAATACCAAGGCAAGTTAGAAAACACAAGTAAAGGAGAGAGAAAAGGCAGAGAGAGTCTGCAAGAGAGATTTGTAAGAAAATATGGACTTCTTTGTCTTTCAGAAAACCGGAGCAAGAGAGAAAAACTGAGGGAGAAGTTGGAAACAAACTATTTGAAAGTCGAAAAACCAGCATCTGTTGATTGACCACAGTCAGTGGCAGCATGGCAGCACACACAACGAGAGAGAGAGAGAGAGAGAGAGAGAGAGACAGTCAGTCTGCATCATCTCTACCTGGAGCTGCAGCGAGGCGACATCACGCATCACAACAACTCAACAGAAATACTGAGCTTGCGCTACATTGGACCACAATGCCTAATAATCACACCTCCTGCAGAATAATTACCTCGACTGTCCATCACACCTCTGCAAACAATCTCATCACGGCTCATCTGCATAACAGCACCGTCACAGCCCAGCGCCGAGTCTTTAAATGGAGCTGGCATGTCTCGGACAGCTTGCATTATCTTGATTGGTCCTGGTGGGCGCCGGGCGTCTCCAAAATCTACTCGTCTGCCTGATTTATATTTATATACCCACACTCCACTACTGTCTAGTGCCGAGACGACAGCTACAGTCACAGTCTGGCCCAAACAGGCCTCCTGTCTCATTACTGTCCTGGTTTATTAGCACACACATATTGTAATCAGTCATTAGTACGAATAAAGATTTGGGTCACGTCGCTAATTTCCTGCTTAGTTCTCCTGCTGGTGCTTCGATTATTTTCTAACGAATTGTTTCAGTGTACGTGAATATTTGTAACTTTCTTCTCGGCACGATGTTTCGATCGCAGTTGACAATGAGATGGTGGATTTTTATAAGATAGTCATCAGTGGAAAACATGAGGAGGCTGTTTAAAGTGCTTTATCACCTCCACCAAGAAGTTTTCATTCACGCTGAAGTTTTGTTAGTGGGCAGGATTATACACAAATTACTGAGATGATTTCCTCAAGACTTGGCTTCTTGCCCACTCTGCACAGCTCCTCGGTTGAAACTCGGCTGCATCACTTTCACAGAGGATGATAAGACGGAGTTAAAAGTTCTACTTGATTTTTTACCTGAATCAAATTTTACCTCTTGAACTTATTATCTGGAAACTGACGGTGATACTAAAAGTTTACAGGCCTTGAAGGCTGTTCAGAGAATTCTCTTCTCCAGTGTCGGTCGAGCCAAACTCGAAAGGTTTCGACTGCAGCACCTGCGGTAAAAATTACACAATGGTTACATGATGATTTATTGATGACCAGCATCAGTCAGAGCTCGTAAGGATTTAGTGTTTTGCTCAAGGGCGCTTCAGCGACGTAGATCCTTGCCAGCCTCCGGGTTTGAATCCGATTCAGAGCGTCCCTACGCATCATCGAGCTGCCAGTGACTGCTGCTCGATAATCAGAATAATGACGGATGTGTATACTTCATTTCCTGTGTAATCACTGCGCCGCTCATACTTGAGCTGGAGCGTTGGCGGGATTCTGCCCGTTAATGAAAGGTGCTTATGGAGTCGTGCCGCGCAGCGAACACACGGACAGAGCGATAACATCTGTCACCGTGAACATGACGGATGCATGATTTGGACTCAACGATTTCCAGCTACCGTCATCAGCTGGTCATGAGTCATTAGGGCGTGTTGGCCCGGCTCGATCATCAGCGCCTCCGCATTAGCGCGCTCCAGAGAGGGAGCCGTCACGACTCCAGCCAGAGGCACCAAAACAAGACCGGGCCCAGAGAATGTGAGCGTATATACAGGAAATGAAAAAGCTCTGGCTCTTGTAAATGCCATCAGATGTATATGCACACTGAGGGAGCGTCTGCCTTTTATATATTCCAGGAGAGAAGAAGTTCAAGGAAAAAGTTTTTAACAGGAAATATGATTTAGACATCAGTCTGGCTCTGTCTCTTCTGGTGTCTGTACATTTCCACTTGGTTATAAGTAGATACAATCTTGATTGCTCTAATTATCTGTAGATAATAGTTATTCAAGACCAATGTTCTTTTATCCTGATTCAGTTTAATGACATAAACACTCGAGACTGATTAAAACTTGAAATCGTGTCAATCAAAGAGTTTAAGGTTTTGAGAGAGAAGAGTTCCATGTCCCAGTTTTGATGTTTCATTTCCTTCACAATCGAAGTTTTGTTTTCACTCCTGTTGGTTGGTTTGTATTTGTGTGAGTGTGTGAAACATCTTTATTAACTGTTGGGCCTCGGAGGTGGCATGTGATCTGCTGAGTTTATTTCTTTATTTAACTCTTTCATTTCTTTCCAAATGCTTCTTCTCTGGATTGTTTTATGTCATTTTAAGAACTTTGAATTGCTTTTCTATTAAAATGTGCTGTACAATGTTAGGGGTGTGTACTTTTATTTTGTAGCTGTTGTCGGACTGAACAAGGAGCAGATTTTGTGAGCGACATATAAAGTCGGTGAAACATGCAAATGGAATGCAAAAAGACGTAAACTTGCCCTGGGGCTGATGCAACGTGAGTTGAAGAAGCAACCGTGCAAAATGATGAGAATGTTTCAGCCTGAACTAAAAATTTCCCACCGATCCTGAAGCTGTATTCAGTAAATCTAACTGATGATGACGAGACGAGAGAGACTGGAAGGAAATAAGAGAAAAAACTAAACACTGCAATACAGGCAGCCACATATTTCATATACTACTTCTGCAGGGTTTTTATTTTGTTTCCTTTTTTTATTTTGTTTTCATCTCATTTTTGGGAAACTTAACAAAAAAAATAAAGGATTATATTTTCCTGCGTGTCCTTTCCTGGAGCTGTGCATGCATGGCAAGAGAAATCAAACCTGCACAAGACCTGAGACTCTGCATCAAACATCTGACATCTGCGCCTCTTGTGGCAGCTTCCTCCACCTCCGGGGACAAACAGTTAGGCCAGGCAGAGTTCATATATGGGATGGGTTGTTTGGTTTCTGCATTAGATAGCTGCACAGCGACGCCTCCTATGGACCACTTGATAGAAATACACTGACATAACATAGATTGAAAAGACAGCAGAACTATTTTAAGTTATTAATAGAGAATCTGAGGCCCTGTGTAGTCGTATGATAATAATCACAATAGACTGGTAATAGTATTAGTGTGACCACTGTGCATGGCCACAGTTCATGATAAAGCTGCTGGCTACTGTCGGATTTGAACTTTGTTGACCTGCAGTCAGAATCGACTGCTGATATGCGACACACACACACACACTGAGAATCATTGTCAGAGCATTGATAAAACCCACAAACATGACATGCCCCCTTTCTCTAAATCCAATTCCACCAGGCGACCTTGTCAATATTATTAATAAAAAAAGGAACGAGTCATTAAAAACATATCAGACAAGGAGAATTATTGACAACTTATCAATGTTAACCGTGTCGGTTTAATATCCGCAGCAAGAACGGGTGCACCGAACAGCTGGGAACAAGAAAACCATTTTTCTCACACATCACATCTCGGCTTGCGAGCTTCGTCTTTTCAGCTGCCGTCTTTGCCTCGGTATCCGATTTCAAAACAACATCCAGAGGGAGGGAGGGATGGAGCTCGGCTTGAACCTGCCTTTCTCTCTTCATTGTGCGTGCGTCTTTGCGACTGTCAAGCAGTCACAAAGGCGACCAAATCCAAATCTCTCCCTTGTTAAAAATCGCACACTTCTTAGTCTCCCCAATCCTCTCAAAGCTGTCTACCGCAGAGCACTGTGCCTTGTTAGATCAGATCTGTTGCCGGTTCTCCTGGCTCACAAAGTCCGGATTATACAATTAAACTCCACATTTTTGCATTTCAAAGCTTAAGCTCTCCATCAAACGACACACACTCGGTTTTATGAGTGAAGGAACCTAAAACATGCCTATACACACCATGAGACGCACACATATGACGGAACATGCATCTTTATCGCAAATGCAAACAACTGGTTGTGTGTCACAGTTTTGTGCCCGTAAGCCGTTCCCTTCTTCTCTCTGTTTTTCTCCTTTCAGGTTGTTTACTGTGAATGTGATTCTCCCCCTCTCCTCTCATTAGTCTCATTAGTCGCCACAGTACAAGCCACCTCTCAAAGCTTCCTCCATCAAGGAGCTTCCTCCATCAAGGAGTTTCCTCCGGAGCAGCCTCGCTCTGGTAGCTTTGCTCATTTCCTCACATCCTCAGGACCAGTCAGTGACAGCAAATAGCCGGGGATCTGCTTCGCTACTCAGCTAAAGCTCTGCCACAAAAAAAGCAATAGCTCAGTTGTTGTGTCTGAAAGTTAAGTCTTGATTCCCTCTGCGGCGAATACCTTTCTCTCTTTGCTGCCTCGTTTAGAGAAAACTAGGAACATCCGATAGAGCTGTAGACATGTCACAAACTAATGGTGACATCTTTGCAGAGACACAGACTCAGTGAATCAATAGAGAGTCACCACGCATGTTCTGGGAACTGTATATTTACTGGAACAAACTGTACTTTAAATGTACTTTGTTTGAACCGCACTGGCTGTTTGCATCTAAAGATTGAAGTATGCTTTTAACGAAGTCCCAGTTGGATCGTTGGACGGTATCTGAAACCCCCGAACCCAAACTTTTCCAATGTCAGTGATCGGCCAAGTGTGCAGAGGTGATATAAGCAAAGATTACAACTTCTCCTTCAGGCTCTCGTTTCATTTTTTATTCAACTACCTCTTATGTTTTTTGTGAGTGCAACGCATTGAATGCCCGTAAGGAGAAACCCATCTTGCCCCTTCTCTGATAAAACTGTAGGTTTTTATACTACTGCGATTCAGAAGAGGCACGAACACATACTTAGTATGTTGAAATACCTCATTGTGCCGTCTATCCATTATCTATAGTGCTTATTCTTTGAGGATCGCCTCGGGGGCCAGAGGCGATGTGAGCTGAGATTGGCTGAGAGGCAGGGTTCACCGTATACCACTAACAAAGCTTGCTAATTAACCTACATCTCTTTCTCATAGAGTCTTTCATTCATTCATTCGTTCCCAGGCAACAGGTTATGACATTTTAATTGGAGAGATGGACAGAGCGAGGCTAGCTGTTTCTACTTCCATTCTTCTGCGAAGCTAACCTACGCTAACCAGCTAGTGGCTGTAGCTTCATGTTTAATGGACAGAATTGAAGTGGTATAAAAAAAAAACGTTCCGCTCGGACCGTTCGCTGCCTCAACGTCCTCCTGTCTCATCGCGTCAAAGAAACTTCCTCCTGGATTTTCTTTTTTCTTTTTTAATTCTGATGATCCAAACTGATTTAAAGGGCAATTGTGAGGCATAAGCTTCCCTCTGACTTTTCGCCTTCAGCATTTCATTTAGCTTCTTCTACAATACGGGGGAAGGAAATAGCAACAGAACAAAAGAAGAGACTTTACATGCACTAAAAAAACTGGGATTTACTCAATCAAAATCCACAAAATGTTGAAGCTACATATTTTTCTTGAAGGATTATCTTTTGGATTGATTTTA